TGAAGTTGTCAAGGATTTCATTTTACTTGGATCCATAATCAATACCCATGGAAGTCAAGAAATCAAATGATGTATTGCACTGGGAAAATCTGCTGCAAAGACCTTTTTAAAGTATTAAAGAGCAAAGATATTACTTAGAAGATTAAGGTGTACCTGACTCAAGCCATGGTATTTTTAATTGTCTCATATGCACGTAAGAGCTGAACAATGAAAAGGGAAGATTGCAGAAGAATTGATACATCTGAACTGTGACATTAAAGAATATTGAAGGTACTGTGGACTTCTGGAAGAATGAACAAATCTGTCTTGGAGGAAGTACAACCAGAATACTCCTTAGATGAGAATGGCCAGATGTTGTCTCTCATACTTTGGTCATGTTGTCAAAAGGGACCAATCCCTGGTGAAGGATATCATGGTTGGTAAAGTAGAGGGGTCAGTGAAAAATGGGAAGACCCTCAATGGATTAACACAGTGGCTGCGATGAAGGGCTCAAGCATGGCAACAGGTGTGAGGATGGTGCAGGACTGGGAAATACTTAATTCTGTTGCACACAGGGTTGCTATGCATCGAAACAGACTCAATGGCACCTAACAACAACATTAAATATTTGTTATATTTATTTGAGTGATAAATGACAAAATGAATGACTCAATGAATGAATGAAAAATTGGGTTAAGTAATCTTAAGGTCAGGTAACTAAATTTTTTACATATATATCTTGTTGTCCAACTAGACTTCCAGTTTAAGTTTGTCAGGAAACGTTTTTCCTTTTAATACCTTATAAGTATTATGCATATAAGTGCTCAATAAATACTAGTATATGAACCATGTATTACTTAAAGTTGGAGTCTATATTCAGATTTTAGTTATTCAGGGGTTAACAAATTTATAAATATCTAACACTTTTGTTCCCCTTCCTCCTCTGTGTTTGTTGGCAATTTCTCTCTTTAATATGGTTAAAGAGACAGAAAGGAAGAATAAGTAGAAATGAAAAGGTTAATGTTCGTATTTGGAGGTGGTGATTATACAGGTTCAACGAATGGCTGGGAAATTATTTTTAAAAACAATGTGTTTTAGTTTAAAATTCAAAAAATACATAATCTCATTTCTTTATTTCTACCTTTTACCTAAAACATATATAACAAGATAAGTTATTGCTATCCCCACAATGCTGGAGATGGCAACTATCAAAACCATAGTATATAGGCTCTTTTTTGCAACAAATTAAAACCAACAGCAAATTATGGTCACTTCTTAAAAGCCTAAGCCAAATAATTGCTTTGGATGCAGGCTTCATCAGTGACCACAGTATTTTCAGTAGCTCCAAAGTGGTTATGTGTTGTAGATAAAATCTAATCTGTAAACTAGAAGCCTAATTCAATATGTAGTCTTATCATTTTTGGGTTTGCAATGTTGACTATCACTCTGGCTTACCTCAGAACATGTTTGAAATACTTCAGCATGATAATCACAGCCTCGCTCATCTGTCAGTTCCTTTAAATCATGCCCAGAAGAAAATACAGGTCCCTCAGCTGCAAATGTTTCCAAGAGAGAAGGAAAGAAAAAAATGTAAACAGCTAGAGTTGGGAAGTTCACTTACTTGTCTACTAAATAACTGAGCAAACAATCAATCATATCTATGCTGTGGACACTTAAAGAAAGTTAATGACCCAATTGTGCTAAGACTCCAGTTAGCTTGAAAAGTTACTGCCAGTCTTTTGCGATGAAAATGCAGGTTGGAGCATCTGTACACTAAAAGGGTCTATGGTGGATGCTGATGAAAACATGCAATTACAAAATGAGAAGACTCAGTACACAGGATGAGTTTACTTCTCCCCTCTGGTCCCACATTTTTGTCTTTAGACAAACACTCTGGCTTGAGTGTGTGGGCTCACTGAGGTCCATCGAAATCCACCATGCAATGTTCATGTCATTCAGTTTATAGATAACGACCATCCACAGAGGGTAGAAATCTGGAAGGTCAGAGCATGGTCAGAACTTAGGAGGCATCTGGCTCAACCCCCTCTATCTTTCACACAGTTAATGTTGACATTAACAACAACAAAATGTGATTCCATTGAGAAACTGATAACACTATCTCACATTTTTCTTTTGTTATTTTGAAAGGTGATATTACTCCCTTTTTACAAATGAGGGAACTATGTAGTTAAGAAGTTAATTGCTGTCAACAACAACAGCAAAATATATAAGATCTACAAAGAAGTTAGCTGCCTTTGCTCCATCAAGGTCACACAGCTCCTGACCTCTACTAATTCTAATTTCTTTTCCCTTCTCCATCTAAAATATCTGAAAAGTTATATTCAATCAGTGATAAGAAGGTAGCATTTTGAGCATCACTGATCCTTCATTGATCCCTAATTTGAAGGGGAAAAAGAAAAAAAGCAGCAGCATCACAGAGCATCATCTGTTATAGTTTCTCTGGGTGTTTTTAAATGCTGCCATTACTATTATTTATACCATCACCATCATCATCTAAAAAGATAATTCAGTAAAAAATTCTTACTGGAAAAACAACAAGGACAGAAATGGCACAAAATAGGACAAGTTTTCTAGTACCATTAAAGAAGACACTGCAGATATTGGTTGAAAAGCTTGAAAAGATCAGAAAAGACAAACCAACCAAATGCCTCAGCATCTAGGTCTGTCTGGGCAGCTAGGTGGTATATCCAAAGGGTTAGTGATTAAACCCAACTCATAAGGATCCATGAGGGCACTCAGGAAGTAAAATTCTCTGGTTCTAATAGGAAGACCAGCATAGCCAAATGTGGCAATGTTTAGTATCTGACAAAAAGGAAAAGACACATGTTTTCATTGAATAGGAATCATTGCTATAATTTCCACAGCCAACAGTGCTAGGACTAAGGCCCCAGTGCCACATGAGTTCTCCATAATTAAGGTTCTTGTAAAGAAGCTTCAAAAACAATTGTCTGGTTAAGTGAGGGAATGCCCCAGTTAACTAAAGACTTGTGAGAAATCTTTTCTGGGCACTGCAGAACACTGAGGACAGATATGAGATAATACCTGAAATTACAATGACTTTCAGATCTTTGCTTTCAGCATCATGGAGAATGTCAGTTTGGAGTGATTTCAGCATTGCCAGTGACAGTGCGTTCCTCTTCTTTGGATTGCTCAAGACAATGTTCCTGTGAAGAACATTTTATAATTACCGGGTCATGCACCAGTCAAAACCATTTAGGACCCCTGCAATTCCCTTCTAATTTGGGAGCTATTTTTAAAACACAAGGAATGAGAACTGCTGGTGCTTAGTGCTATTTTCGAGGGTCTGTCAACTCTCTGGCATTAAAGCCAAGTCAAAACAAGGAAAAGACTACCTGAGATGCAGGCTGGTTTTTCACTTTCTTCCCTTGATTTGTTTCTCTTTTTCTCTAGGTTTGCTGTCAAAAATGTTACTGCTACCTTCACAGAAAGGGCAAGTCACAGCAGTTCCCAAATCATCACTGCCCATACTGAGAGGAGGCAAGTTATATGTGACGGTGACAGGAGACACAAGGAATCTGACAAACAGTGGCTACCTTCAACTTACTTCTTCCTGCTGTTCTTCAGAACAAGGTTAGGAAAGGAGCCAAGAATGAAAATACTCCCCCAAGTCCCTCCCACCCACTACAAGGAATAGGTAGCCAAGGTACATCTGCCAATTTATGATAGCGTTTTTCATCTTTTTTTTTAATAGTAGCATCCTGTAATTTTGTAAAATCAGTCATGCTGTCTGAGAGTGGAATGACACGTGAAGAATAAAAGGACAAAACCAAACAGCAAGTGGGCTCTTCTGGACATATCATTTAACAAAAAGCTGGCATTCAAAGGGCCTATTTGCTATTTGAAGGCATCCCACATGCTGATTAAAATAACTGTATTGTCATTCTACCGCCTGTACACAGAAATGTCTTATTTTTGCTGTTATAAGAAACAGGCAACAAGCCAAACATCAGATTATTTTTACATATTTTATATTTGTTTCCCATCAGTTTCCACCTACATGTTTTCTGCTTTTCTCATTCTTTTTTGAATCTGATATTCCTAGCGCCATGCAGTCAACTTGGGTCCTCCATAAATAGCATTCTGTATCATTCTTTTCTGGAAAACAACTTTGATGAGTGAATTTATTTCAATGTAACAAGAATAATCATTTTCTTTGGAATATCATTTCAATTTTGTGGCAATCTTCAGGTGGCTGTGCTATTCATTGTTTTGTTTCTCATAAACATATTCTCTCCTAAGTACAAAAATTACTTGGAGCTGATATACTGGTAGACTTCGAAACCTCCATTTTGGGTGTGGGTGAGAAAAACTGCTTATGAACCTTTCAATAAAATAATGAGTGTGATTGCAGTAGCAAACATAAAAAGCTGCCATCCCATCGGTGGCATATGCTTAAATCAAATTCTATGGCCTCAGGCAAAGTTGTGTAAAAAGATTCCAGCCTCCAAAATGCCCTTACTACATGGCAGTATCTGTTCATATGTGTCCCATTAATCCTTTGGTGCTCACATTATACACAGTGTCAGGGTTCTAAATTGCTGAGTCCACTTTTCAACCCAGTATAACCAGGTTTCTGTTCCTACCACTCTACTAACCCTATTTTCACCAATAATCTCCTAACTGCCCACTCCAAATCCAATGGTCATTTTTTTCTTTTTTTTCTCTAGACTGCTCCACTCCAAGTGACACTGTTGCTCACTGTCTCCTTCTGGAAATTCATTTCTCCAAAGCTTTATACCACACTTTCCTAGTTTTCTGTATCTCTCTGGCCATTCCTTCTTGATTTCTTTCAGGGGCTCCTAGCCCTCTGCTAAGCCCTTAAATGCAGTGAGCCTAAGCGTTCCATTCTTTGCTTTTTCACTCCATTCTTCCCAGGCCACTGCACCATATGCCCTTGGCATCAACCTAAACAACTGACAACTCCAAATCTTTAGTGCTCATTCAAATCTCTCTCCTGAGCTCCAACTCCAAAACTTAGCCTCTTGCCTCTTTCCCTTATCTCAGTGCTACCACTCAGTTGTTTAAGACGGAAACTAAAAGTCACCTTAGATTTCTACCTTTCTTACTCAACTGTCACAAAACTAGTAACAAATCCTAAAAAAATCTCACCATTCTCCCAATGGCTATCTTGATTCAAAACATGTGATGTCTTACACCTAGAGCATCACTAACACCACCAATCTTAAGAGGGAATCTCTTTAAGAATGAGGTCACCACTAGGACATGTGATAAAAGTATAGCCTTTCCATTTACAAGTGTGCTCCATTTATGAGGCAAAAGGTAGTCCCTGTACCATAGTTGCAGGGGACATCAAGCTCAATTGGCATAACATACTACACAAAACATTGTTCCACCTCCTACTTTGGCGAGTAGTGACTAGGATCTTAAAAGCTAGCAACCTGCCATTTAGATGCAACGATGGGTCTCTCCTCATCCAGAGCAAAGAAGAATGAAGAAAACCAAATATTCATGGAAACCGTTAGTCCTAGTGATTGGTACACCATGCGATCTGCAGCCTATATGACTATGAGACCAGAAGAACTAGATGGTGCCTGGCTACCACTGTCAACCACTTGGAGGGGGATCTATGTAGATCCTGGATAGAGAGGGAAAACAATGTGGAACAAAACTGAAAATCATTTGGAAAAAACGAAAAAGGGGGCACCAGTTTTGCTGGTCTGATAGAGCCTGGTGGAACCACTGAGACTATGGCCCATAGCTGCCCTTCAGGTCTGGAATTGAACCCACACCTGTGGCTTCCAACCAAACAAAAGGCATAGGAGTTGAACATTTACCTGAGGTAGATACACTCCTTGGAGAGAACAATTATGGGAGAAAGAAGGGCTGTTTATGCACAGGGAAACAGCTCAAGGGGCAGGAGTGCATGGAGGGATGGACACAGGGAAGAAGTAACTATTCGGAGGAAGTAGGAGGGGAGCTGTTGCATTGGGGTAAATTGGAGTCAATGTCATGAGACAACGTGTGTGTGAAATACTGTATGGAAAGTGAATTTGCTCTGTAAACTTTCACCCAAATCACAATTAAAAATATATGTTGTTGTTGTTGTTGTTGTTGTTTGCCGTCAAGTCACCCCGACTCCTTGGGTTTCCGAGGCAGTATCACTACGGAAGTAGGATTGCCCAACCTTCCTTCCGAGGAATGGCTGGTGGGTTTGAACTGCCAGCCTTCTGGTGAGCAGTCAAGTGCTTTAGGCACTATGCTACCAGAGCTCCCTAAAAATATATATATATATTTTTAAAAAAAGCCAGACTTAGTGGACCAGCAGAAATCTAGGGAACCCATAAGACTGTTGCCCTGAAATACCCTTTAAACTCTGAACTGAAACTACTCCAGAAGTCATCATGGAACTAAATAACAGATTGACTCATAAAATAAACAATATCATTTGTGGGTGTGTGTGTGTGGGGGAAGGCGTGGTCCCTGTAGATGCCCCAATGAGCTCTCTGCTCATCACTGTACCATGAGATCTGTGGGGTGAAGGACTATGATGTTCACACTCAGAGGAGACACTCATCAAATATCTGTTGATTAATGGCCAGAAACAACACTTATATTTTTCACAGCCAGTTCCAGCAGAGGGTACATAATTGGCATGAATTTTTATCTCATCTAGTTGTTTATTTTCCCCTCCATCTCTTTTAAACCTAACCAGTGAATAGACAGAAGGCATAGCAAATGGAAACAATTTAGAGACAGACTTTCTCTGATTCTTGCTACTCTCACCTATTGGTGGTGTGTGGCCTTGAACAGGCTGCCACCTCTCTGAACTTGAATCTTCACTATAAAGTGGGGATAATATTATTTAGCTTGCAGGCTATTGTAAAGATTAGGGAAAATGAGGGAAATAGTGCCTAGCATAGTACTCAATTCATAGCTGGCTCTCACTAAATGACAGCATTATTGTTGAGAGGAACAGCTCTGAAAAGGAAGGCCTGAAGGGCATTGAGCTGCTTAAGCTCACTACCTAGTACCTAATATAACCACCAAACACTTGCTGGTTTCCACTCATGGAAATCCCATGTGTCAGAGCAGAACTGTGCTCCATAGGATTTTCAATGGCTGATTTTTAGGAAGTAGATCACCAGGCCTTTCTCCTGAGGCACCTATCTATGGGTGGCTCAAACCTCCAATCTTCTGATTAGCAGCCAAGGGTGCTAGCCATTTCTACTCCCAGGGCTTCTAGAGCCTAATATGTTGTTGGTATTGTCCTAACAATACCATTGAGATGATTCCAACTCATGGTGACCCCACGTGTGTGCAGAGAACTGCTCCATAGGGTTTTCAAGGCTGTGACCTTTCAGAAGCAGATATCCAAGACTTCTGAGGCACCTACTGAGTGCCTTTCAGCTAGTAGTCAGTGCTTAACTGTTTGTGCCCCCAGGGACTCCTGTAGTGTCTAATATAGTACTGCTTTAAAGCTTGATAGGAGGATTTTGCTTCTCTAAACAATTGCTAAGGAACACTGGTGCAGTAGTTAAGTGCTCACCTGCTAACCGAAAGGTTGGCAGTTTGAATCCATCAGCCACTCGGTGGGAGAAAGATGTGGCAGTTTGCTTCCACAGTGATGACAGTCTTGGAAATCCTATGGGACAGTTCTACTCTGTCCTAAAGCATTGCTATGAGTCAGAATCAACTCAACAGCCATGGGTTTCTAGTAAATTATTTTGAAAATTTTCCACAGATTATTCCAATCATGTCCCTTTCTGAGTCATGTTTAACTCTGGAGAACTCAACCAGGCCTTCTTTAACCATTGTGCTGTCATACCAGAATCCAGGCTTTTGACTAAGATGTAACCAATTTGCAGAAGCAGAACTGCCCTTAAAAATGGGTAAGAAGGGCTCCTACACTTTACGCGCCCTGCTCTGGCTCTCTTTCAGGGAAGCAAGGAGTCCACTGGGGAACGGAATGTACCCACTTTCCAAACCTTGCTCCAGTTTTCTGGGATCTTGGATTCCCTGCCTCTGCCATGGCATGCCTAGGCCCAAGAGGTGGGCCAAGAGCAGTTGTTTGTAGTGGGTGAAAGGGTAACAGAATATGGGCATGCTGGTGGGTATCTGCAGACCTGTGTGCAAAGGCCTTGAAGAGCAGGAGGGAGGAGAAATTGGCGGATGGCGTAGCGTGTAGAAAAGGAAAAAGCTGCATGCAGGTCATGGTCTAGCTCTCTGCCCTTTTCAGGGGAACTCCTGGAATGTGAAGATTATAAATGTAAGCATGGTTTACCAGCTCTTATGAAGGTTTATTTGTTAGGGTAGGAAAATAAAAACGTTTTGCTTAACAGCTTGATTTTGTAACTTTTAAATATTTTGACATGCTACTAGTTTACCCTTTAGTGCCTTTGCCCTAGCCAGGAAAATGTTAGGATCAGGCCTGGGTGGGGCTAGGAGACCTCCAACCTTTATTAATTCCTAGTCTAGTTCTGGTGTTGTAGTGTCTAAGACATTTGACTGCTAACCAGAAGGCTGGTGGTTCAAACCCACCAGCCACTCCTGGGAAGGAAGATGGGGCAATCTACTTCCGTAGAGATGTTGTTGTTGTTATGTGCTGTCGAGTTGGCCCCGAATCACAGCGACCCCTCCTTTGGTTGCCAAGGCGGTATCACTACAGAAGTAGACTGCCCAACCTTCCTTCCGAGGAGTTGCTGGTGGGTTTGAACCGCCAACCTTCTGGTTAGCAGTCAAGTGCCTTATGCACTATGTTACCAGAGCTCCTTCAGTAGAGATACTGCCTTGAAAACCCAAGGAGGGGTCGCTATGAGTCGGATCCGACTCGAGGGCAGTGAGTTTGGTTTGATTTTTTTTGGTAGTCCAGTTTCCAGCTTCCACATAGGATTTAGCGTAAGGATTTTAGACTTGTTGAGCAGAAATAAAGAGCTCAGTACGGTGTGTCCTTAATGCTGTTTATAGACCCGTCCACACCCTGCGCGCTTCTGGTTAAGAGCCGTCAGAGGAGCAGCTCTGCTAAACCTAATCTCACCTTGAAGCCAGGTCAAAGGATTTTCTCTAAGTCCGGGGCAGCGGTGGGGCGGTGCTATAGTGCTGCCCACACAGAGCCTGTGAATCTAATACTCTGCACGGCTGACCTACAGGTTTAGGGTTAGTGCCAGGCAGGCTATGGGAATCCTACTTACAATCCTCTGGTTTCTAACTTGCAGGACCCCAAACACTACCCCGCGCAAAGCACCTCTGTTAAACTCGGTACTCGAGGATTCCCTCTTCCAAGAGATTAAACGTCAGACTTCCCGGGCGGCCTGCATGGGTAGTGATGGAAAAATTGGGGTCAAACTGGTGGCTGGGAACACCAATCCCTTTGGACTATAATGGCTTGCCTTGTCATCTCTTCCCGGGCCCCTGCCATCGCCCCCCCTCCCCCCACCAATTAGGAGCAGCAGGTAGAGGAGGAAGAGGACGCTAGGCACCGCCCCGCGGGCTGACCTGATGCCGTCCCGCTGCCACGTGCTGGTGGGCCGCGGCTCGGGTTCCGGCCGCCAGGTCCCGCCTGGTCCCCCGCTGCAGAAGCCGGCGGCGAGCGGACCCCATGGGCAGCGCAGGAGCCAACCAGGTCCCTTTGCCCCGCAGGCCCGTAAGCCCGCGACCGTGGCCATGACACCAGAGACTGGATCGTTTGGGGATCGGACGCCGCGGGTTCCCAATGCCAACGGGCAGTAACTTGGCGCACCGAGGGGCCACAGGCTCTGGCCGCTGCAAAGGGCGCTGAAGCGTAATGCACTACGAACAGAACTGTAACAAAACTCTTAGGCCCTACGGCCCGCGGGGGCAACTCTCCTAGGCCGGAACTCTCCCCCGCCGCCCCGCCGCTCTTATGGCCCCGCCCCCAGAACCGGCCTTCCACTGAGGCGTGACGGGTGGGGCTTGAGGGAAAAAGGCACCGGCTCTGTACTTGGAGCCTGGATCTCTGGTTTGTTTGGTTTAGCAAGGTATTGTAAAGCGTTTTAGTGAGGCAAGGAATGGTTTGGGTTGTTTCTTTTTTGCATCAACACCAAGAATGTATTGGTTTACCTAGATTAGAAAAATAAATGCCATCAGGCGGTGAGTGGACAATGCCGCATTATAACACACTGCTTCACCCCAGGCCTTGTGGGCCATTGTTGTTGTTGTTGTTATGTGCCGTCGAGTCGGCCCCGACTCATAGCGACCCCTCCTTGGGTTTTCGAGGCAGTATCACTACGGAAGTAGGATTGCCCAACCTTCCTTCCGAGGAGTGGCTGGTGGGTTTGAACCGCCAGCTGTCTGGTTAGCAGGCAAGTGACTTAGCCACTAGGCCATTAGAGATGTCAACATGAGGTGTGACCCACCCAGACATTGATATTTGAATGGTTTGTCTTCACTTATCTGGAACTCACAGATGTGGTGGGGTGGGGCTGTGGTGGGTAGGGGGTGGGGTTTGCCACATTTATTTATATGGTGGTATTTCCAAATTCACCGCAAAAGAAAAGGGAGGTCCTTTTCAGGACCTAAGTGGTTGGCCCACCCTGTGACTGAAAACTGAAATATAAGAATATTCTCATTGCTATTTGTTAGTTAATTACTTCCTAGCATTCGTTCCCAAAGTCTGGAGGATTGTGGTGTACATGGAATAAATGGTATTCACTTTCTTACAGTGTCAAGAGATGTCATATCGACCCTTCAGACTATCAAGTTCTACAAGGTAACAATTCTGTAAAAGGGATATTCAAATAGAGCCACAGAGATCGACTGCATAGTGGCTTAAAATAGTCACACACTACATTTCTTTAAGTGGGGCTCCCCTTCAGTTCTCAGCTTCATAAAAGAACAAAAACACTCATATGACAGGACAACATTCTTTTTTTTCCTTTACTTTTATTGTGGTGAAAACATAACAACTTCCATATTTACAGCTGAGGGACACTGATGATGTTCTATTGTGCCACCATTTTAGCTATCCTTTTCCAAAATATTCCACGACGCTTAGCATAAACTCAGTGCCCCACAAACAAAATCATCCCCATTCCCCCTCCCTCCAACCCCTTTAGTGTGTGTATATTTATTTATTTATTTATTAATTATTGTTTTAAACCTATTTAGCAAGTTCCCTCCCTGCCCTTCCCATTCCTGGTAACCAACAAAGAGAATTTCCTTCCATAGATAAACCTTTCCTTGACCTTTTACAACAGGTGAACTCATGCAACATTTGTCCTTCTGTGATTGACTTATTTCACTCAACTTATTATGTATGTCCTTCCAGTTCATACATGTATGAGGCGTTTCACGGATTCTACATTATTCTTTAGTGTTGCATAGTATTCCATTGTGTGTATATACCACAGTTAGGTTATCCATTCCTCTGTTGATAGGCACTTAGGTTGTTTATATCTCTTTGCTATTGTGAATAGTGCTGTGATGAACATGGGTGTGCTTATTATACCTATTGTGTCCTGGTTCTCACTTCTTTAGGATGTTGTTGTTGTTGTTATATGCCATCGAGTGGACCCAACACATAGCGACCCCTCCTTGGGTTTCCGAGGCAGTATCACTACGGAAGTAGATAGCCCCATCTTCCTTCCGAGGAGTGGCTGGTGGGTTTGAACCTCCAGCCTTCTGGTTAGCAGTCAAGTGACTTAGCCACTATGGGATTGCTAGATCAAATGGCATTTCTGTTTCCAACGTTTTAAGGAATAGCCATACTGATTTCCACAGTAGTTGTATCATTTTACAGTCCCACTAACAGTGTATGAGAATACCAATCTCTCCACATCCTTGTCAGCAGTTGTTATTATTCTATGTTGTTGAACTTTGCTATTATTTCTGGGATGAGATGGTATGTCGTTTTGATTTGAATCTCTGTAATAGCTAATAATTGTGAACATTTTTTCATACGTTTGTTGGCTGCCCGAATATCTTCTTTGGTGAACTGTCTGTTCATGTCTTCTGACCATTTTTCAATTGGATTGTTAGCCTTTTTGATGTTGAGGTTTTGGAGTTTTCTATAAATTTTAGAGATAAGTCCCTTATCACATATGTTGTTGCCAAATATTTTTTCCCAATATGTAGATTCTCTTTTTATTCTTTTGGAGAAGTCTTCTGACACACGTAAGAACGTCAGTTTTAGGAGGTACCAATCATCTAGTTTATCTTTTGCTTTTTGTACATTTTGGGTGATCGTTGATTTATGCCATAAATTCAGGCCCCTAAGTTTGCCCCTATTTTTTCTTTGATGAACTTTATACTTTTAGGTTTCACATTTAAGTCTTTGATCCATCTGGAATTAGTTTATGTGTACAATGTGAGGTATGGATTTTGTTTCAGTTTTCTGCAAATGGATATCCAGTTTTGCCAGCACCATTTGTGACAGAGACTATCTCTTCTCCCACTGAATGGATTTTGGCCCTTTGTCAAAGATCAGCTGACCATAGGTCAATGGATCTATCTGGGTTCTCAGTTCTGTTCTACTAGTCTATGTGTTTTACCAATACCAGGCTGTTTTGACTACTGTGGCTGTATAGTAGGTTTTGAGATCTGGGAGTATGAGACCTCCTACTTTGTGCTTCTATAGTAGTGCTTTGTTTATCTGAGGTGTTGCTCTATTCAGACAGCTACAATAGTCTTCATTCAGTGCCTCCAAGGAAAGTGGGTCTCAGTAGAACTCAAAAGGCAATGTTTTACTTTTGAGATTTAAAAGTCCAGCCTTTCATGGGGTGGTGGTAGTGGTGGTGGTAGAAATGACACAAAATAGAGAGATCCAGCAAGATGGCTGACTAGGTGGAAAGACTGCACAGACCCTCTTCAACAAAGAAAAGGGAAACCAATTAACACAGACACAGAAGATAATCCTGGACCCCTGAGCCTTGAAGGGA